CCAGGGCCGCCAAATTAGTGTATACATTACAATACTGAAAAATTATCACATCCTCGATTGATGACGGCTTGAAGATGTGCGTGGATGGTAGTATGGCGTGGAGGCAATTGGGCGCCTTGAAAGTGTGAGCGAGGCTGGCATGGAGGGCTAACGGCAGAAGTTGAACGGCTGGCTGATGTAGGTGGCTGGAAGGATTCGGCGGCAGAGAAGAAGCGTGGAGTGGAGAGGGTGGCGATTGGTGTAGACGAGTCGAGACTTAGAACCTCGGCCGCTTCGGAGCGTGAGGCTGAGGCCTCCTGCGATTACAAAGCAGCGAGTTGTGGTGAGACCACAACTGATACATTTGATTTCGCAGTCATCGTCATGCTCCCTTAAGGCACTTCAGGCAAAGCTGAAGTTTGCTGGCCTGGGCATGCGAGAGACGGGATCAGAATATCTTGTGCATCTGCCTGAATGGTGCTGGCCCCTGTTTTCCTCATAACAGCAAAAGGCGCAGTTAGAGGTTGGAGCGTACATTTCAACAGGGTGGCCACAGCATCTATGGCGCCGGGAATTTTGCCAAGATGGTTTCGTACCACATGGGATCACAGGTTTTTACCACATCATAACCAGCAGATATCATTTGATTCGCCAGAACTTGGATGGTCAAAAACTGAGGAGCAGCTGTCTGAGGAGCTATTTGCTGGCCTCAGTCTTACAAGTTTTTGCACGATTCGCGATCTATTGGTCGATTGATTGCAGTAGTTTTGCTGCAAAGTTCTTATGATCTAGCAGTAATTCTCTGGAATAAGTTTGATACCTTTTATGGCAGTTTGGGTTCTGCCTTTGAGGCTTTCCTTAAGTAACAGTATCTTTTCCATAACGTCTAGTTCCCGACTTTTGTGTACTAACGTTTCAAAGATGGCTCAAAACTCAGGAATTTTCCGCATTACCGTAAAGTTTAGGTAGTGTGGCTTGAGGTGGCTTGATTGAGCAATAACGGCTTTGTTCTAGAAAATTTTGGTCAGATGTAGCCAAATTGGGAAATACCACACGTGAGCTACTGCTTTCTCATCGTTTTGTACCCTATTGTGCTCAGGG